GGCCATTCCATTTTTGTAGTGAAGGACTGAAGAATGAGCTAGTGAAAAATGTTAAGATGCTAAATATAAAACACATATAATGCCAAAAGTCTCAAATGGAGGTAGAAAAGTACAAATGTTGCTGACAAGTAATCTTTAAATAATCTCATTTCAAATCACATTATGCATCAAGCTGCTTGACACCTGTGAGAAAATATTTACTGCTAAACTAGTAAAAGAAAAATAAGCCTTAGCAACGTATTATTATGTTCCAAAGATTTCAAAATGCATCCCAAAAGGATTTTTGATTATTTTGAATTACAAGGACTGGGGCTGGGGGAGCACTAACACAAAGCGTCCTTATTGAAGCTGATAATGTTTGCCACAGTTAATCTATGTCTTTGCTGACTACTCATTTTCATCTTAATCTTAAAAATGCAAAGGCACATCCTCAGCCACTGGGCAAATGATTTATTGGTGAATGTTACACATATGGTTAGATATATGTGCATGCATATAGAGAAACATACAGAGAAAAATCCTTCACAAGAGAAAAAAATCTTTCACAAATGCATCTGATCTAGGAAAAGGCTTCCTACACAAATGAAAAATGCAGGAAAACTGAAGGTACCCTCTAAAGCAGATGAGCAAAAGTGATTAGTGGTTTAAAATTTACAGTCTGCTTGTGAAGGGTCAATGTGAATGGGTTATTATTTGTTCTAAAAGGTGAAAGACTAATAGGGATATAATCAAGATCCCATAATGTAGAAACAAGGGTATTGCATGGGACAAATACTGTTTATATTTTCCAGTTTGGGCAAGATAGCCTACCTCACTCTCCGTTACACAAATCCATTCAGCTCATCTGTTCTAGTCTACAATTACCCCCCTGCTTCAGTAACAAAGATACAATATTTTTCTTTGAACACTGGAGCAAGAGCAAAAAGGAAAATCAATTTCCAGGCTCTCCATACTGAACAAATTTTAGGGATATTTAGACAAAGATTTATCCTTTATGATCTAGATTAATTTGTTCTGACTCTCCAGAAAGGACTAGGTTAGAACTGATGGATTTCTGGCAATCACTTTGAGCTTTACATTTCATTCTCTCTGGCAATATAGTGCAGGTATTTCTACAACAATGTAGATCTGAACTCTGCAGGAAGTCATTCCTCTGAAAGTAAAACATTTTAAATTGGCTCTTAAAAATTCAAGTAGGATGATTATTTTGTGTGGAAGTTTTTCCAATTAATTTTAATAAAACAGGCCAGCATGTGGCTGCTGCCTGAACAGAGCAGCTGCTAGTATTTAATACTTGTGTATTCCTTTGTTTTCTCCGGAACATTGTGCATATGTTTGGTCATTAGCACATTCTGGGAAAAAAACACCCCAACACTAAAAAGCCCTGTCATTTAGCATCCTTTATATAGCAAAAATTACACACCTTTGTATGCTTCAGTAAAAATAACTCTGTGTGACTGCACATGAATTTGTCCTGATTATATAGTGGGTCCAGAGCAACCATAAGTGTGGATAAAAATAAACATTATCAAACACAATCTATACAGGAAAAAACAAACATATAAAATTGCCCTTAGATCCTCTGTTTCATCTTTCACTTTCCTTTTCGGATTTCCACAAACTTTATATGCTCTTACCCAGCTGTCTCTGTGATTTCTCTGTGCAGAAATGCCACAGTGCAGCCCTTTTTATGAAAGTGCTCAAGAGACCAGGATCAAGAGACCAGTCCCCTTCCACCTGACAGCTCTTCATAAATAAAAGGCCTCCCATGAAAAACAGGCATGGAAAACAGCTTGAGAGACGAAGGGGTAGTTGATTCTGGAGTCCACTGCAACAAATGGTGGTTATTCTTATATTGTTATTACTGTAACACTCTTACATCAGAGGAAAGGATCAAGAGACTCAATTTCAGTATCCTTGGGATATCCTGGATGAAGAGGGTCATTGAGCCCGTTTTGTTTTACCAGGATATGTATGCATACTCCTTATCTATTGACAAAACAGACAAGTCATTTCGATATTCATTTCATGTGTGTGTCCTCAGGCAGGATTTAGCCATCCCTGAAGATCAGCTTGGCTTTGTAGTATTGCTCAGTTGATGTGCTGTATGGAAAATACATGATGATAACTGATGTAGAGCTCACCACTCATAAATATTCAGGTGACAAGACACAACAGACAGGCACCTTCACTGTTGCAGAACTCAGAGGCACAGGGCAAGGCACAAACCCCAAGGACAAGTGGCTTTAGCTACTTGAAAAAGTGCATTTCCTTACAAATGTACTTGTGAACTTGGTATGTTTTTCTTACCAAAACTCCCATTCCTGTATTCACTAGCCATTATTGGCAGTCAGGGACACAGATAAGACCCCTCTTACAGCCAGTGTGGAAAAAACAGCCACACCCCAGATTCTAACACCTCTTCATAACCAACAATGGGACTGCACCTGATATTTAACTTGAATAGCGAATCCTCAAAAGAAATTCAAAATTACAGGAGCGGATTTTGCAGGTTTGTGTCTGAGACTAAGAAAGTGTGGGAGATGTCTTTATGATTCTAACTAGCATTTTCAACACTTTATATACACATTTGGTTACACTTTCTGCAACAAAGGAAAAACTGTAATTCCATTTTGAAGGATTTTACTTCTCTCTACTTACATGATCAGTGATTCTAACTTAACTGCTGATGATCAAATATTCTAAATCCACTGCTGAAATTTCATCTCCATCTTAAAAAGTTTAAATTGTACCAGGCTAATTGAGGTGTTCCAGGACAGAGGAAGAGTTTTGGAACAAGATAGGTAAAAAGAAACCCAGTAAAATCAGATTTAGAACACTGTGAGACAGAAACAAGGGGTTAGATTGCTTCATCCAGACACAGTGGAGAAGGGCCCTGGGACAAGTGGGACCTAATTTAGAGTATGAAAATGATATTAAAGAAAATATGAATATTGGCCTGTTCTTTTTTTGAATCTTTTCTAATGCTTTAGATAAATCAATATGCATCAAAAGGAGTGTGACCAGCCGGTCAAAGGAGGTGATCCTGCCCCTCTACTCTGCTCTTGTGAGACCTCACCTGGAGCATTGTGTGCAGTTCTGGTGTCCTCAACACAAAAAGGACATGGAACTGTTGGAACAAGTCCAGAGAAGGGCCACGAGGATGATCAGGGGACTGGAGCACCTCCCATATGAAGACAGGCTGAGGAAGTTGGGGCTGTTCAGCCTGGAGAAGAGAAGGCTGCGTGGAGACCTCATAGCAGCCTTCCAGTATCTGAAAGGGGCCTATAGGAATGCTGGAGAGTGACTCTTCATTAGGGACTGTAGTGACAGGACAAGGGGTAACGGGTTCAAACTTAAACGGGAGAAGTTTAGATTGGATATAAGGAAGAAGTTCTTTACTGTGAGGGTGGTGAAGCACTGGAATGGGTTGCCCAGGGAGGTTGTGAATGCTCCATCCCTGGCAGTGTTGAAGGCCAGGTTGGACAGAGCCTTGGGTGACATGGTTTAGTGTGAGGTTTCCCTGCCCATGGCAGGGGGGCTGGAACTTGATGATCTTAACGTCCTTTCCAACCCTAACTATTCTATGATTCTAATATATGTTTCTGTAATAATTTATTCCCTGCTATTTCAATTTTTGTCATTGTCTAGCTCATGAACCTTATAGTAGGTCAAAATTCCAATTAGAATTACAGAGGAAAACCATCAATGACTATAAAAACACCACAATTCTGTATCTATCTCTTACAGGATGTGAATATTGTAGCCACTTTGTCTTTTACCAACGTAACAACTTCTGAGAAACCAGAGTAAAGGTCTTGGAATTTTTAGGCCAGTTAATTTATTAGCTCAGCATCAGTAACTTTATTGTCCTTGAGTAATTACAAACCAGTCACCACAACCTGTTTTCATGCGAAGTAACACGGGCCACAGTAGCACTCCTTACAGCTCACACGGCACAGCAGTGAGCTGTAAGGCGAGAGGAAAGCTGGCCACTGACTAGCGCCTCTGCTGGAATTGCTGGCTGATGGCAGTATGCTATCAACAGTTTAAATACAACAAAAGACATTTAGAGTGTTGGTAGATTGGGAAGATGAGATTTGATTAGCAAGTACAAGTCACCCATGTACCTCTGTTCACTGTGGTTTCCTCATTCCCCTAGCCGTTTTTAGCTGGCTGAATCAGCAGTATCACATCCTCCTTGTGAATCAAACTAACTGTAACCCATCCCAAGACCTCATCTACCGTTACATGGCAGACAGGGAGATTTACAACCGTGCTGATTTTAAATCCAGTTCTGCAGGACAACGTGGTTCTGGTGCAGTTCACAACATGGGCACTAAAAAACTGCTGCTACTCAGCTGTTGAAGTCAACCTGCAGATGTCATACTGCTTCATTACTGGCGTTCAAATGCATTATTTCTCTGCTTGAGCAGCTGAGATGCAGCTTCATGCTGCCATTTTTTTTCTGTAGACTTACAGCCATATTTCTGCAGAGTTGATTTAGCTATTAATGTCTTGAGTTTCAAATTTAATAGCTAGCTACTGGATAGTTAAATAAGCATTTGTTACCGGAAATGGATTATCAGTGCCCGCTCTGAGCTACATCTGGGGCAACTGGGTGCTAGAAAGATCTCAAAAGAATTCTAGCTCCTTGGGCATGGGGTAAAAACCTGCAGCAAGCTACACTATTACTCAAACACAGGGGCTAAAAAATAGGAGGCTGGCTTTGGAGAAATGGTGTTTCACAAAGGAGTAGGTGTTTCATTTCTGCTTCTCAGAAATGGTATTTGGAGGTAGGAGTTAGCCTTCTCTCTGATAGTCTTGGGGAATCCACATGAAGATTCATTGCTTCTTGATCAAATCTATTACACATGACTAAGGGAATGGATATTATAAACTGCTCCACCATGAATCCCTGCCCACTGAATCCTGTGTGGGAGATAACCTTACAGAAGCAATTTTTTTTTTTGATCTGGAATGCAGTGTCTTGCACACACCTGAAACACACCAAAGGTGGTGAAACTGCAACCTGCAACTTCCTTTTAGCAGAGGGTGTTTGCTTTTCTGGAGTCCAAATTTCACAAGTAACCTGTAAACACATGGAAGAACGCGTCATTCACTGTTCACACTGTGCTGACTTCCTAGAAGCCCTTGAGGTTTTCTAGGCTACATAAATCATGCTGTTTTGAAGACAGGCACAGTAACAGAAGGCATGTTCTCTTCAAAACCCCTCTGAGTATCCAGCTCTGCTTAGTAAGGCAGCAGGGCTGGGAATCAGCCAAAGGCCCTGATTCACACCTGACAGATTTCAGAACCTTCCCAGCATTACACAATCCTCACCTTTCAGAAAGCATCGTCTCAAGAGCTTTTTGGTAGAGTATTCCCCAAGGCAGTGGTAGCAGTTCCTGTAAGACATGCACAGAAATAATGCTACTTGATTTAGAGGAAGACAGATGTTTTTTCTTGACAGGGAAGAGGGGTAGCTACTAAAAAGTAGAGTGTGGTCCCATTCCTTCATATACTACTAAGGGAAGGGAAGTCTGATCCTTAAATTCTCACAAAAGCAGCTGTAGCACTGTCCTCACAGGAAGCAAGACCAAGTTGTAGGTAATAGCCTTTGTCTTCAATGAAATTTAAGCACAGCAAACTCTCTTCCTGCAAAGGAGGGTGAAAACAATGTGGGTGTATTTTCAGTGTCTAGGTACTTGGCCATTTTAGGTTGGAATGAATACATTTACGCATTTCCTCATCCATCCTGTGTTTACAAACACGCACCAGACTAACCTGTGTGCGACCTAAACTTAGGAAACCCTGATTTTTGCTGTCAGCATCACAGGCAAGCTTACATTGCTACTAATGGAGGTAGGTGTCAAGAACCAGGGAGTAAATTCCTGTTTCCCATGCTTGCATTTAAGAAGTCACAAAGTCACTGTTATACAAATGAGGAACTCCAGTCTCTGCTAGAAAGTCAGTTTCACTGACTGAAATCACTTTAACAAAAAAAAAAAAAAAAATGCCTTGGGAAGGGGAAAGTTGCCATTATTGGAGGAGGCCTTCATTGCTTCATAGAAAGATGAACGGTTTGGTTTTGAAGGGACCTTAAAGGTCATCCAGTTCCAACCCCCTGTCATGGGCAGGGACACCTTCCACTAGAGCAGGTTGCTCCAACCTCCATCCAACCTGCCCTTGAACACTGCCAGGGATGGAGCAGCCACAACTTCTTTGGACAACCTCTGCCAGTGTCTCATCACTTTCACAGGGAAGAACTTCTTAATATATAATCTAAGTCTACTCTTTCAGTTTAAAGCCACCCCCCCTTGCCCTATCACTATACGCCCTTGTAAAAAGTCCTCTATCTTTCCTGTAGCCCCTTTAGGCACTGGAAGCTGCTCTAAGGTCTCCCCAGAGCTTTCTCTTCTCTGAACAAGACCAATTCTCTCAGCCTGTCTTCACAGGAGAGGTGCATGACCTCCTCTGGTCTTGCTCCAACACATCCATCCCTCTTGTGTTGGTGGCCCCAGAGCAGGATGCAGTACTGCAGGTGGGGTCTTACGAGAGCAGATGGGGAGAACCACCTCATCACCACCCTGGACTTGCTGGCCATGCTCCTTTTGATGCAGCTCAGCACACAGGTGGTTTCTGGGCTGCGAGCACACACCGCCGATTCACGTTCAATTTCTCATCGACCAGCACCCCCAAGTCCTTCTCCTTAGCGCTGCTCTTAACCCATTCTCCGCCCATTCACACCCAAGGCCCTGCTGCAGCCCCAGCCCCCGCTTCCCACCCGTGAAAAACCCTAGCTGGTTTTGCAAGAAGCCTCAGGGGAGTGGAAAGCCGGTAGCCACCCACTCACCCGTGCTGCGCCGGTGAGGAGAGGCGTGCGTTTGGACGGGAAAAACCCAAACAGGGGACGGGACAAAACAAGAAAGCTCCACACCAAGCCCTCCCCAAGCCGCGCGACCAGCGCCCGGCTCGGGTCAGTGTCTCAGGGACGGCGTCCCCAGGCAGCGCCCGACCAAGAGCAGCTGAACCCTCCGCCAGTCCGCAAACCGCCACCACCGCCGCTGCCCCTCATCTCGCAGCGTTCCGCGCCGCCCTCCTGCGCTTGCGCGGCTCCTCGGCGCCTGCGCGCTGGGAAGCGAGGCGGGCGCTGCTGCTTTTGGAGGGCTTGCGGGCGCGAGGCGGCTGGCAGGTCGCTGCAGCACGGTCGGGTGAGGGGAGGGCGGCCCGGCGGCGGCGGGTGTTGGGCGCCCCCAGTTCCTCCCTTCAGGCACGGTGAGGCGGCACCGGGAAGAGGCAGACGGGCAGATAGATAGATAGATAGGTTGGTAGGTAGTAGGTAGGTAGAGAGTCGGCTGGGTCCCGCTGCATCCTCATCGTTATGGCCGGCTCGGAGCAGCCGCCGCCGCGGCGGGAGGATGGGGAAGCGCCGCTACCCATCGAGGACGCGGAGCTGGCGCTGGCCGGCATCAACATGCTGCTGAACAACGGCTTCCGCGAGTCAGACCAGCTCTTCAAGAAATACAGGTAACCCCGACCGCCCCTCCGCCGACCGATCGCTCCCTTCCTCTCTTCCCCGGGAGCAGTCCACCAGCACGGCCTCGGGCGCTCCCGCCGCCGCAGGTGGCCCGGCCTCGGCGCACCTGTCCCAGCCACCCACCTGCGCGACCGCACCAGCCCTGCTCTCTACCCTCAGACGGCCTCCGCTCCTCGGCGGGGCCATGAGGCGCGCAGGTACTCCCCCCACCTCCCTTTACCCTGGTCAGGGGTCTTGGTGGGGGTAGCCTTGCTCCTGAGTGGCTCCTCGGAGCGGGGAGGGTTGTTATGCATGATTGCCGCCTCAGCCGGCGTTCTCTGTGGGGAAGGGGCACGCGTGATTCGCCGTCGTGACGGTGGGTGAGAGGCTGCATCTCCGCGCTGCGGGGTTTGCCGTGTCGCCCTGTGGAAGGGCGGGGGAAGAAAGGGCCGGGTAGGGGTCGGTCGACGGGTCCCTCAGTGACAGCGCCCGCGTTTCGCTAGCGACCGTGAGTAAACACACACGTGTGCCTGGAGACGGCTCGGGGGGGGGGGGGGGGCGGTGGGGGGGAAGGGAGTTTCGCTCCGGCGCTCATGCGTGATCTGATCCGTAAACGCTACTGTGATTCTCTTCAGGCTATAAGATTATGTTCATGATCCCTACGTACGTCGTGTCAAGGTTTGTGCGTTAAGTAGTTATCCTGTAGGAATGGTGTTAACGCAACTGGTTAAGTCGGTTTTAAAGAAGAGATTGCCCATACCTGCCCTTGCGTTTTGTCTGAGGACTAACGTGTTCCACCCAAGCTTGAGCTGCTGTAATTGCGCATACGTTGTGAATAATTAATATGCACTATGCTGTTGTTGTCTGTGTGATTAAAAAGGACTTGGACTTAAAATAGCACATCATAGCGATGGTGTACTTGTGTACTTAAATCTTACTTACGGAAAGGATGTCTGGATGTAGAGTGAGGGCAGTGAGCCAAATTAACAAATCCCCCCTTAAAAGTAATAGAAACATAACTTCACTGTGTACCTGCCACTATCTAATATTAAGCATGCCATTCTGTTTTTAGTATATATTGCTGTGTTGCATACGCACTGCAACATTGCAGGTGACAAGTTGGGTCCCTATTCTGCATTCCTCACACGCATAACGTGCAGCTCATGTTCGTATGGAGTTGCACCCTTACTTATTTCTTGAGTCTGTTAGGGTCCTCAATTGTTCTAGGTATCTAAGGAGCCTGTTGGTTTTGGTTGTTTGCTTTTGTGTATTTTTTTAAGGTGCTAGTTAAGGAGCACTTGATGAGGTTTACTCTTCTCCAGTTTCTGGTTGTGTTGTGCCTTTGCTTTCTCTCAGTAGTGTGAATATGGAAGTAGTTTAGGAATTCTAAATACGTGATGCTTCTTACATTGTATAATAGTGCTAGGGAGTAAAGTTATTAAGATTCCTATTTTCAAAATGCAGTCCTCCCTTGAAAGAGTGAATAATGATCTTTCTGCAAGATCTTGGTTATCTAGAAGATTTATTACTGATGATTTTTTAAATGCAGACGCTTGTATTTTATTTTTTTTTTTATTTTTTTTCGCAGGTGTGGGCTTTTCTTCAGTTTTTATCAGGAAGTGCCTTTGAGTCTTGATTTGATGCTACCTACCAGGAGTAAATAGGAGTTCCTTCATTAGATTAAGTAGTTTTTATGATTCGTAAATTGATAATTGCTGTCTTAGTTTTTAAATGTCTGTGAAAATCTCTGGCCCCATCTACCTCATCCTAAAATTCATAACAGGTTGTTCTTTCTGTGAACTAATAGACTTTTATTGAATGGCAGATTAGCTGTATGTTGAAACTTTGCTTTAGACATGAGAGAAGATGCATATCGTCAAGTATGCTCAACTTCCTATAAATCAGAATTTTTGGAGATGTGCAGTGAGGTCAACTTCTTTTTCCTAATGGTTTTTGGTTCCATGCTTGTATGTCCTTGGATGTGTTTTTTCTGCAAGGACTTGAGTAAAGTTTGCATACAATCTTAAATTAGTATATTTTTGTTGATACATGCTTGACAATATGAAACAGAACCCATCCTAAGTGGGTCTGGTAAGCCAAATGAGCAGCTTTTAGGAGTTCTCCGTAATTTAATGTGGATGTTAGGAATTTGCAGCACTAGAACTTGGAGATGTGTGAGTGAGTGCTGTATTTTGAATGACCTTTCGTATAGAAAATGTTAATTCTAGACTTCTGCCTAAGCAGGTAGTTTAGCTCTGTTTCAGACCGTAAACAGCTGTCAGATGAATCCTAGCAGGGGAGGGAGGAATGGTATTTATTTTTTCTTATGGGAACTGTTCAAGAACCTACAAGTCTCTGGAAACTCAAATATTCATCAGAACTTCAGTTTCATTACCCACATTATTTAAACTAGTTAAAACTGTTCCTTAGAAACTACTTGTTTTGCTTCTGCTTTTTATTTGTTTTTTTTCCTTCATATGCCACCTGAAGGATTTTGTGAAAAATTAATTAATATTGATGCTGCTATCTCGGTGGGCCAGTAGACAGCCTTGATGAGCCGAAGGACGGCTGCCATTCCAAAGGAATGCTTGCTTTCTTACTCTGCATTTTTGCCTCTTCTAGAAGGCTGGCTGATGAGCCCAAAATCAGTTATATTTGGAAGCTGGTAATAATGCACTCCTTGAGAAAACCGGAGTAGGAATTGCAGCTGTGTTTCATGTGTATAACAACACCAGTAAAGTGTTGCCTATGAAGAGTTGTGGTACTTTTAAGAGTGGTGGTACTTTGAAGTTACTGGCTAAAGAGCCATTGTTTCTGTGTTGGTCATGGGAGATCAGTGTTTTATCTGTTGGTATTTAGAGCTCATGTATATTTATTTAGAACCTGAAGAAGTCAGATGAATGTGTCTTATGTGCCAGATACTCTGTGCGGTTGCAATGATGTACCTCTGTAAAGCAGTTAATGACTTGTCAGGTGTAGTCTGTGACTTGTTTTAAATTATACTGTGAGCAAAGATGTGCCATCACAGGTTTGAAAAATTATCTGCAAGTAGCATCAACATGCTTTATTTTAGGTGTATTTTTTTTAAGAAGTCTGGATCCTCCACCAGCTAGTGGTGGCAATGTTCTGAATGTGAACCAAATACCAGTGAGTGTAATGGTTTCATGAATCAGTGAGAGCACCACTGTCTTTAATGCTTGAAGCTGTCTCGAGTGCCCACACTGCTAATTCATATCTGGAACTGTCGAGTATCGATCTTTCTATTCAGTTTGAGCAGTGCTGACACCATTCCAGTTCTCATCAGTTTAAACTTTGGGTACCTGTGAAAGCTGTAAGAGATGTGAAGGTTAACTGAGGACACCGCCACTAGAGATGAAGCCCACTGTCAGCCTATGGGATGATATAATTTTGGTGAGCAACCCTGGCACTAGCAAGAAAGCTGGAATTGGAGTGTTGTTTTTTCCCTTCTAGCTTTGTGGATTCCTAAACACTTAAGAAAGGAAGAAACTGTCAAAAGAATGTATTTTTAAGAGCATTTGCAATTCAGAAATGATTTAAAAACTTCCTCCAGCTAAGAGGAGAGAAAATAGTGTCTAATAAAACAGGAGCTTTGTAGCTGAATGTTGAGTCACAACATAAAGCATAAGACCAGGGATATCATCTTACAAGAAGTCCAACAATATTCTGTCTCTTACCAGGGAAACATTTGATTCTTTGCATGAATGACTTTTATTTCTGAGAAGGCTTGACAAAGTCTTCAGCTTGAATCTGAATGAAAAGAGAAATGGTACAAGGTGGAGAAGTATAATGTATATAATAAGGTCATCTTCAAAGAAGAAAATTAGGATGATGTAGAGGAGATAAGACTTTAAGACAAAATGTGTGAAGATTTGAAGAATGAGGTCAGTGTAGGAGAACACTGTGCAACCTGCTAAGGTAAAGCAGGACATAGAGAAGAATGGAAAATTGGAGGAAATGGGAAAGGAATGGAAAAAAAGCTTAGTATGGTTACTTCAAAAACCTGACATTTTTAAAGTTATGACAGGGGAGTTGGAACTAGGTGATCTTAAGGTCCTTTCCAACTCTAACTATTCTATGATTCTCTGTTACGGTATACATATTAACAGATATACAAACATTAGAAATTCCACTGGGGGTGATTGAACCTAATACTAGCAATTTAAAATTATGTCTGTGGCCAGAATACTTTTGGCCCAAACGCAAGTTGAGACAAGGTGACATTAGGCCAGCATTGATAAGGAGGTAGATTATGGCCAGTGTGCAGGCAGTCTAACTGCTGTTGAAATTCTTATTTATGTAGTTTAGCAAAGGAGCTGTAAGAACAAAATGTAGTAGTTTAGTAGATGTTTGGTAGCTTATGAAAAGATAAGGACTGCAGGGTGGGAACTGACGTAAGTCAGTTGAGAGAAGGATGATGGCGTCTTGATCAGCAGTGTGAGAACTGAG